TCCCCATGTCAGCTCCATAGGCATGTTCTCACCACCCTGGCAAGTTTTATTAACCATTAACTCCCTTTCCCTTGAGACATCCAAAGCATGGGAACTGGGGAAGATCATTAGATAACTTTGAGATTAATAGGGAAACATTAGCCTTATTAATATGCAATTGCTTGCTCGCTTTATCACTTACACTGATGTCCTTCTCCTTCACCTGAACATAAGTTCCCCACTGCTGCCTTTGAGGACAAGCTGCCACAGCTGATTGATGGCCTGTGACCCCACAGAGGTAAGGATGTGCTGAGAGCTGAGATCACTCCTTACCAACAGATATTGATTATATTTTGTTGGGTGTGAAAGTTTAGCTGGAAATTAATGATCCTTTTAAATGGGGCATCTTAACGTACTGAGAATGGAGCCACGTGGAATATAGGGCTGGGAATAAGTTTTCTTTGGCAGAGCTTCTTGGGTTGCTGTTGAATTGCAGGTTATACACCATTGCTCTTCGCTGTGGCTTATTGTTTGTAATTCATTATTTCAAGGTTTCTTCACCTTGCTTCCCACGTCCACCATCTGCAGCAGCAAAGACTGAAAGCGTATACTTTTCTTCACCCAAAATACTGTCACTGGCTGCTGATTTGACTTTAGAATGAGGCTAAATAAGCCTGAAATCTGAAACAAAGATTTCAGACACAAAGTACCTGGGAAAGAAAGAGAGGAAAAAAAAAAACCCCTATGATTTGTGTGTGAGTTCCGCTCCTCTCAGATACAGAAACCAATTTCCTTTGTCATATTTCACCCCTTCTATCAACAAACACCTTATTATCCACTGTAACTGTGTCACTGGCTGCACATCTGTGTATCCTATTTGCTTGCAACGTACCAAATAGATTTATTTGCTCTCCCACATCTTATCAAACCTGTAACCACCTCTCTGTGGGATTTGCATTGGATTTACCCATTCCTCTCTTACCAGTGTGGCTTTGGTTCTCCTTGGAGATCCCAGCATCAGGCCTATAAAGACCCAGTTAATGTCTAGACCCCAGGGATTTAGTGTGAATGGGGAAACCACCTTTTCCTGATGAATTTTTTCCAGTTGACTTAATGGCTAGAGAAGAAAGGCTGACTTATGCCCGTTTACATGCATGGAAATGGTGAGGCCAAAGTAAAAAGCCCAATGTGTTATTTATGGTGTTTCTTCTCATCTTGTGGAAACCGACTGCTTTGATTCCACCAGACTGTGTTTTCTTTGCAAGTACAATACAATTAAGCTATTTTCAGCTGGCAATAAAATCCTTGAGAACCAAAGCAGATTTGGCCACTTTAAGAGATGAAGACTAATGCAATCTGATAATTAGGTCATTTCACCGCCAAGACTGGAAAAGCAATTCAATAACAGCTCCCATGCTGTAAGACAGGGGCTAAAGCCTCTGCTCCCAGCTGGCAAGGGCTGTGCCTGCAATACAGCTCTCAAATGGGCTTCCATAGGTATCTGCAGATCTCGGTAAGGCTGAGGGGCAGGCTGGCCATGGTGAGGACTGGGAAATGGAAAATAGAATCATAGAATTGTTAGGGTTGGAAAGGACCTTAAGATCATCCAGTTCCAACCCGCCTGCCATGGGCAGGGACACCTCACACTAAACCATGGCACCCAAGGCTCTGTCCAGCCTGGCCTTGAGCACTGCCAGGGATGGAGCATTCACAACCTCCCTGGGCAACCCATTCCAGTGCCTCACCACCCTCACAGTAAAGAATTTCCTTCTTATATCCAATCTAAACCTCCCCTGTTTAAGTTTCAACCCGTTACCCTTTGTCCTATCACTACAGTCCCTAACAAAGAGTCCCTCCCCAGCATCCTTATAGGCCCCTTAAGGGAGATAAAGTCCCTTCTTTCACTGGTATAGCCTGGCTGAAATTTGTCTACGGAAAGCATCGTGCTTTGAGGCCAGCTCCTTTTCTTACCTCCTACGCTGGTGTGAAAGATGGAGGCTTTGCCGTCCCAAAGCCCTGCTTATCCCTCGATGCCGTTCCTACTGCAGGCAGTGGATCTTGTCTTGAAAACTCCTCAGCCTGCGACCGTTTCACATGGCACTTCTAGTATTTCAGCTGGGAGGCTCTGTAGTGAGGCAGTGAGAGACTTGTGGAGCTCGACTACGTCAAATTGGAAAACCACTCACTGGGAGAAGGAAAACAAGCCCTCACTGGCTCTTGAGGGTTAAGTTTTCAGCTGTCTTTCACCCTCTTTGTCCTGGATTGTTGCAACAGGAAAGGGTTTTTTAGAAACTTCTTCGTAACTTCAACTTCCCTGTTTGGGAGGTTTGGAAGAACTTCTCTTGCTGAAGTCCCTGCAGACGAGAGGCGGCTTTGTTGCAGTTCTCATGCTCTGGGTAATAGATCAGAATCGATATTTCATTCTAAGAAGAGCTTTCCGGGCAGAGCTGCACCAAGTTTGAGCAAGCTGTAAAACAGTTGTGGTGTTTGTGCTTTGCCCTTCCTCGCTGTGAAATGCTACATGGCTTGACCCCCGGGTCTGTGCTGCTCTGAGTAAGTCTTACTCATATCGGCAGGTCTGGGATCCTTGGGTCTAGTAGGTCTGTGGTCTTTAGCAGTTTGCATGAGTAAAGGCGGAGTAAGAGTACAAGGTCAGGCTGTAATCGGTAACATCTTGTGGATGTTGTGTTGAACCCACTCCCCAGCAAACTGTGCGTATTGTCAGCGCACCACCTCTTAGCCATAGCGGATCACAGCTTTATTTCACTTGCATACAGATGAGCTTCTCCAAGGTGGGTCAAACTGCTGCTATTCTAGCAGTTCATAGGAAGCACAGATACACTCAGAGGAAAGGGATTTTTTCTCTGACCCAGGTACATGAGCTGTGTAGCATTTCTGCCTACGGCTTTCAAATCCTCTGGATTTAATGATCTTCATCTTACTGAATAAAGTAATTGCATTCATTCTTTCTTACAGACTTTTCCCCAGCTTTGTCATTCATAAGGAACTTACCTGTGTTACAGGGCTCTTCTTGCACTTTAAACCAAACAGAACCAACCCAGAGTAATTCATAAACAATGAAATTGCCCAACATTGAGCCAGATTGCTCAATACAAACAGGCACTTGTCTTTTCTTCCCCTCTCCCCATCCTGCACTCATAACACTGGGGACTTCTAAAACCAGCCGCATTTGTCCATTGTATTTGTTGCTGCAACCCCGCAGCGCTTCCTCATTAGGAGTACAGGGAACTCGGCAAATTCTGCTAGTGACAGTCATGGCAGTTGGTGGGAATTGTTCAGTAGCCATATGAGGAGAGCATTAAAGCCTGTTCTTTGGGATAAAGCACCGGGGCAAAATGTAATCACTGAGTATTTAAAGACAGAAAAGGTCAGAGTTGTAAACTCATGAAGCTAAGGAGGAGGAGGATAGTTTAAGTAACTACAAGTGATTTGAGGCACTGGCATTGCTGTGGAGAGTAGGGAATCATATTTAGAGCTTGTTCTGGACATTATAAGGAAGCTCCCCTTAGCTCAGCTCCACTTAGGAGCCTGCCCAACCCACTTGGACCAGTGCATCCCCCAGCAGCTCAGGGCAAAAGACCTGATTACTGATGAACACTCTCATGTCCCAGCAGCATCCCTGCTTTCTGGGTATCGCAGAGGCTCCCGGGGTGCAACTTCGGGTGCTCACACTCATTGCCAAAGCCTTGTGTGGTCTGCAGCCCTTATGCTCAGCATCACCTTGACTCTGGGTCCCCCAGCCCCACACAGGGCTCCTGATGCATTTCAGCTGTTAGCATTTGGGAACGCGGCTCTCGGAGGGCAGCGGGAGAGCGCTGCAGCAGTGGACACCTGCCTCGGAAACCAACACCCCTGCACTGTCCATCAGAGCCCAGGCTTGGCAAACTTCAGAGCGTGCTTACAAGGCTGGTTTTGTTCCTGCGAGGCTCTCAGCCAGGCATTTCATCCGTGTTTGCTTTGTCTTAGGCCACGTCCAGCGCAGGGCGGACGAGCTGTTAAAAACCACTGCGATTTCTGCAGATTTCAGCAATGGCCAGGAGCCTGCTGATGGAGCTGCTACAGGTGAAACAAAGGACTGGATCCGACGTACTGCAGCCAGGCAAACGCTTCTCTCGCTGACAGCCTCGCTCCAAAAGGTCTTAGTGCAGGGATCAAAGCTCTTGTTTTGGAAGGGATGCTGGGTTTCAGTTCAAGAGAAGGATGTGAGGTTTAGGAGCTGTGCTGCAGAGCTCTTGGCTTGCTTTAGTGCGTGTTAAGGTCAGGAGTTTGTGCTGAGATGCCGCATCTTAGCACTTCACTGAGATGAAGGAACAAAAGGAACAAAACTATTCTCTCTCTGGTATTTTCCCTTACTACACGGGGCCTCGGACATTAGCCTCGGACGCAGCTGGTGTGAGCAGAAGCACCGCAACCACACGGGACCTTCACAACTTCCCATTGGAGTCCTGCACAAGCCTTTATCGGGGAAGGGGGGGGGGGGGGGGGCAAATACCCATGGCAGGTGCCGGGTGCCCGCGGGCGCTGTTCTGCCGTCTTTGGGGCTGCGACATCCCCCGGGGACCCCCACCGGCACCCTGCAACCCGGGGTCCCCCCAGGTTCGTGGAGCCGCAGCCCCCGGAGCCCTCTTTTACAGGGTCCGTTCACTCTTGGGACCCGCTGTGCCCGGGACCCGCCGCTTCGGGGTCCTTCTGCTTCGGGGACCTGCAGCCCCCGGGACCTGGCGCTCCGGGGTCCCAGCGCTCCCGGACCCCGCTACTCCAGGACCCTCCGCTGTCGAATCCCTCCCCTCCGGGGTCCGTCCACTCCGGGGTCCCCTCACCGCTGCCCCGGGGACCCTGCTCCCCAGGCTCCCTCCTCCCCTCCCCATCGGGGCTCCCCGCACCCGGCCCCGCCGCTTTGCCCCGGCGCGGCTCGGCTCGGCCCGGCCTCCCGCCTGCCATTGGCGCGGGGCAGCGCGGGGGGGCGGAGACGGCGGGGCCGCTATTAAACATCACATGGCAGCCCGCAAAACCGGGCAGCGGCTTGCGCGGTGGCTCAGTTGCGAGCGGTGCGGCCGGCGGGCACCGGGGCCGGGCTTGCGTGTGTCCCCCCCCCTCCCCACTCCAACCCGCTGCTGGATCTTTACAGCACTTTAACTGCCCGCGCCTCCCTTCCGGCCACCGGCAGGTAAGGAGCGCCTCGGGATGCCCCTTGCTCCCGGCAGTGCTGGGGATGCGCCGGGAGCTGGCTCGGTGCGCGCCCCGTGCCGCGCAGCTCCCGGCATAAAGCTTTCGTTGCCTGTGGGTGTGTTGCATGCTTGGGTACGGCCGCTCGGAGGGGGGAACTTCTGCGTTTCTCGTGCACCGACCACCAGCTATTCTCAGCGCCTAAAATAATTAGATAGGTATGCCGGGAGCACTGGAGCATCTGCTTGCAGCATCTGTTTGTGTTCATAACTTTCCATGCACCAGCTGCTTCCCACTCCCCCCCCCCCGCCTCTCCCGAGATATTTTATCCTGGGGAAGGGCTGGAAGTTCGCATGACAGCAGGAGCAGCCCCGCTCCATCCCTTCCCATTCTTCTCGCCTGTTGTTTCCTGTGCAAGAGAGAGGTCAGGAGTCTCAAGCTTTGGAGAGGAGATGCGTGTTTTTGAAAGGAGTGTCCGAAATGTTTGAGAGGGCTGGGAAATGAACCTGTAACTTCATTCATTGGCGTTATGGAAACGGGGAGGGGGAGTTTCTTTATTTTTAATCCTCCTGACAAATCAAGATAGGAAGAAATTAAAGCCCCTGCAGCTGGGGAGCCGGTGAGGAGGCTCTAGGTATTGTTTCCACTTTGTTCATGACAGTGAAAGGAAAAAATACCGATAAGGAATGGCAGGTTTGTTCGCTGGGGTTCAGTGACTGCTGTGTCATCTTCCGGGGGACGGGGCAACGGGGATCCCTCCGGTGCTTGTGTCGGGACCTCGGTGCGCGTTCGGGACCCGTCGGTGCTTGCGCCAGGCTTCCGCCCCGTGCGTGTGCGGGGTCCGCGGCTGAGCCGGTGCCGCCCGGTGCTTATGCCGGGACCTCGGTGAGTGTGCGGGGTCCGGGGCTGAGCCGTCCCTCATCCCAGTGCGTGTGCGGGATGCCCTCGGTGCGTGTGGCCGGTACTGAGCGGGTCCCTGTGCTCGGTCGGCCCCGGCTGCTGCCGCCTCCCCGCGCCGCCGGCAGCCGCACTTGTTCCGTGCTCCAGCCTTACCTTGACACTTGTTTGCTTTGCACCCTGCAGCCGGTGCATCGCGCACCCCCCCTGGTGCCGGCTGCCGCCTCGGAGCTGTTCTGTCACCAGCTACAAACACCCCCGGCGGCAGATGCGAACGCGCTCGCCCGTTCCTCTCCCCTATTTCCTTGCACTCGTTTCCCTTCATTATCTGTTTGAGGGGGTTTTGATTTATTCCCCCCAGATCCTTCTCCTGAAGGTATCTCACCGCTTTGTGTAACTTGAATGCTACCCGAGCCCGGGGAGAAGCCCTTCGGAATGACTTTTAAGCAATGTGGGGGTCTGGAGAAGGGTTTCAGGGAGCGGGAAATGCGGGAACGGGCTTTGCTGGGGCGAGGAGCGCCTTTGTTCCTTTGCAGAGGCGAAGGCGCTGGGCCAAGGTAGTGCTGGTGCTCCCGTAGCAACATGTGCCCGGTCGCTCCGCAGGGCTGAGAGACGCCAGCCTGGGAATAGCTGCTCCAAGCCCTCATTAGTGCTCCTCTTTCTACCCCCGCGGTTCGTTTTGCACTTTGGAGGTTTTGTTCTTTATTAAACCTTCTGCACAAATCCCCTTCGAGCTGCTTGCTGCGGAGTTTTGATGTGGGATGTGAACGTCTTTCCTGGGGGCAGGTCTTGAGGGGGATGCTTCCTAAGGGGAAAGTGAGGGTGCAGGGTCCTCCTCATCACTTCCACCAGTGCTGGTTCAGAAATGCTGTAGATGCAGCATGGTCCCGTTTCTCTCTTCTCCCCTGAGCATCCCCTTGCAGCAGAGCAAGCCCAGGGCTCTCCCATCCCATCTCATCCCATCCCGGTAATGCTGCGTCAGTGCCTGTGCTCGTAATTCCAAGCTCTAGTCTTGTATCCTCTCCCAGGAGGAAAGGTAGCCTGGATTAATAACAATAACAACACACCTCGTGATGATTGAACTTACAGGTGCGTGTGTGCATGTGTGGCTGCAGTGCTTAGGGACAAATTGCACCAACATTTGGGTTGGTTGGTGGGTATGGGGTTGCCTTCTTTCTGGTGAGGATGCAGGGCTGGTCCTCCACTAACTTGGCATCTTGGGTGCCACCAACAGCTGATAATGGGGTGGGAGGGGGGCCAGCACACTGGTTTTGCCTTTGAGCTGCAGGTGGATTAGCAAAAGAAGAAGTACTATTAGCTTTTTACACTGGTTTGCTTGTTTCTGGGATTTTCTGGGGGGGAACCTCTAACTGAAACCAGTTGGGGAAGTCATGGTGAGCATCAACAAGGTGTGAGCTAGAGCCAGTGGATCTGCTAGGGGTTTACACAGCCTGTGGTGCCACAAGCAGGAGCATGACCAGAGCTGGTCCCTGTACACAGTGCTGGTTGTGCTCCCACTCTGCTATCCTCCCTACTCCAAGCATGCACAAGGAAGAGAAGGGATTTGTGCTGTAGAAGAAGACAACCATGCTGCGGTGGGGCATGCCAGAGCTTTGTTGTATAATCCTCAAGCAGTGTGTAATGGTAACACTGGCTGCCCCAGGCACACCCCAGGTTATGGATTTATAGATAGGTAGAGCCAAATCAGTGCAGGTCTGCTCCCAGGGCAGGGAGGGAGGAGAAATGCTGGGCCAGGTACAGGAGGCAGAAGGTGCTCAGCCATTCACAATCAGAATACAACGTACAGCACCTAATTCGGGCTCCAAACTTCTAAATGCAGGCAGCTCCCTGTAGGAAGCTGCCGTTATGATTCCAGTGATTTGTGGACTTCAAACAAATGTCCTCAGGTCAAGACTTCTGCGGGGGAAGCTGCGTATTCAGGCACTTGAGACTTTACAGCTTATCTTGCCCTCCACCACAAGTTTTCCCCTAAAATCCAAGAGAGCATGCAGGCGAGAAAACAAAGACTTAATAATAAACTGCTTCCCAGGCTGCGTGTTCCCATCAGCTGGGAATCAAACAGACTCTGAATGTGGAAGTTGAACATGACTGTGATTAGAGGATGTGGCTTATAAAAGTGATCAATATGCAGACCAATGCAATGGCTTTTCAAGAAGGTTTTTGTGTGCACTGTATTAGCAGTAATTTCACTTCCCTCCCATGTTCAGGTTAAAAGTAATAAATGTGGTTTTCAGCCAAAATAAATAATTTAAATGAACATTAAAAGAGTTCTTTTGTAATTTTGAGAACGATATCCTGATGGGAATGAGAAACATCCTGATCAGAAAGGTGCAAGGGGTGAAAAAGTGAATCCTTACTGGTGTAGGCAGGACAGTCAGACAGGTTTTAGGCAGCCCTGCTGTGAGCCTGCATGACTGGGAGCTGCTCTCAGACCCGGCATTACCGAACCCACCAAAAGCTGCCAAAATGTCTTGTATGGTGCTGAAGTCACAGATGACTAATGTGGGCAAGTAGGCGTGGGGATGCATTCCTGCACAGCATACAGAAGAGAGGGGAAAAGAGAAGGTAAATGTAATCCCGAAGGAGATTCCAGAGGGAACAGCAGCCTGCGTGCAACTGGGAGCGTGATGGTGTTTTGTGTATGTCACCTGCTCCTTTCCTAAGTGTCTGCTGAGCTAAAGCCCTTGTAATGTGGTTGGAGGTTGTGGGAGGGCTGAGGAGCTGTTTGAAGTCCCTCAAGTTTTTGTAACACATCTGCAGGGCTTTAGGAGCTGCCTTTGGGAAAGGAGATAAACTCTTCTCTACTGCTGTTGTTAGGTATGGATCCAAGGAATAGCCGCAGTGTCCTGCAACTGTTTTGAGGGCAGAGGTTGAGCGGCTGCAGTTTTGTTGGGTTTTGGACAAACTCAGATGGGTTTTGATGATTCTGATTTACAAAGAACGCTGTGATTTAATCCCCCTGTGCTGTAAATGACATTGAATTCTCTTCTTCCATAACAAACATTCCTCGTCACTGGGTTGTAGTTTGATTTCCTCATGGGGCGCATGCGTGGACAGAGCAGTTGCATTAAGGCATCTCTTCTCCTCTGCAGTATTTCAATTACATTTCCTGATATACAGTACATGACTTAATGGATGATGCAGTTGTTAAAAGCTAAACCTGGGTCTAAGCCAGACCTCCCTGAAACAAGTTTGGTGGCTTCTACCCTCAGGAAGAAGGTTTTGTAGCCTCTCTGCTCAGTCTTAAGTGCTGACATTTAAGACCCACGGGACACTCAGAACCATTACCCGTTGGAGATGGAACTGGCTGCCCCAGGCTCCTGAAGGGAAGGTGCTGTTACTCGCTACCAAAGGTGTTAGACACTTGGACAGTCATCCTCCATTGTGGCCTTTTGCTAGTTGTGTTAGCAGGAGCAGATGAGGGCTGTTACGAGATTTAGTTCACTTTGTACAACTTAAGCCTAATGTAAGTGTAAAAATCACGCAGATCTCAACAAGTTTCTGTGGTTAAAGAAGAGCTAATGCCTTTTGCAGAGAGCACCCAACTCCTTTGGTTTTGCTTATTCAAAAAGCTAAGTTATGTGCAGTGTAATTTCATGGAGATCGCTGACATTTGTATTGTCTGAGTTTATTGCTTTTCTCAGTACGCGGCACCTTCCCTTTTACATGTCCCCTTGTTTGCCGTAGTTAAAACAGTCCGGGAGACACACTGTATGTCACTAAACCTGCTTTAGTGTTTGTATTTGAACAGATGGATGTTAATGCTGATTGTTTGTTTCAAAATAAACAGAAAGTTGTAAATAGTAGGTAGATTATTTGCATGTCCAGCTTTAAAGTGCACATTGCTCAGAGGCTTGTGACATGATTGAGCAACTTGGTCTAGTGCAAGGTGTCCCTGCCCATGGCAGGGGGCTAGAACTGGATGAGCTTCAAGGCCCCTTCCAACCCAAACAAATCTATGATTCTATGATTGCTTCAGTGCTTTCATGTGGGAAGAGTGATGCCTTCTTTGTTGTAATGAAGTCACTCCTGTCAATACACGACCATGAACATGATGTGTTCCAAAAAATGCTGTCATTAAGAATAAGGAAACTTCCTGCAGGTCCACAGGAGTAATTTTAATTGTTTCTTCCAGGTTTGATTCCTTACCCTTTTCCCCAAGATTTAACACGGCGTTTCTCTTTCTCTTGCAGACCATGCCATCTCTATGACGGTTGCTTGTTAAGCTAACTCTGCATGCCAGAAGACTGTCCCTGGTGGATCCAAGGGCTTCTGGGGACTCCAGCCTCTCCCCAGTTTTTCCGCGTGTGTGTGTTCCTTTAGAACTTTCAAAACTGTTTCTCCAAAGGGTTTTGCAGAAACTCAGACTGTTTTCTAAAGCAGAAGCACCCGAGTCCACAGCAGTAGTGATGGGCAGCGTGCGAACCAACCGTTACAGCATCGTGTCTTCGGAGGAGGACGGCATGAAGCTGGCAACCATGGCTGTTGCCAACGGCTTTGGGAATGGCAAGAGTAAGGTACACACCAGACAGCAGTGCAGGAGCCGCTTTGTCAAGAAAGATGGCCACTGCAACGTCCAGTTCATTAACGTGGGTGAGAAGGGACAGCGATACCTGGCAGATATCTTCACCACTTGCGTGGACATCCGCTGGAGGTGGATGTTAGTTATCTTCTGCCTGACTTTCATCCTCTCCTGGCTTTTTTTTGGCTGTGTGTTTTGGTTGATTGCACTGTTGCATGGGGATCTGGAGAATCAAGAGAACAGCAAACCTTGCGTCTCTCAAGTGAGCAGCTTCACTGCAGCCTTTCTGTTCTCCATTGAGACCCAGACCACGATCGGCTATGGCTTCAGGTGTGTCACAGATGAGTGCCCCATCGCAGTGTTCATGGTGGTTTTCCAGTCTATAGTAGGCTGCATCATTGATGCCTTCATCATTGGTGCTGTCATGGCAAAGATGGCTAAGCCAAAAAAGAGAAATGAGACTCTAGTCTTCAGCCACAATGCCGTGGTGGCCATGAGAGATGGAAAGCTGTGCCTGATGTGGCGTGTTGGAAACCTGAGGAAAAGCCACTTGGTGGAGGCACACGTGAGAGCACAGCTCCTCAAATCCAGGATCACGTCAGAAGGGGAGTATATCCCCTTGGATCAAATAGACATCAATGTAGGCTTTGACAGCGGGATAGACCGCATATTCCTGGTCTCCCCAATTACAATAGTACATGAAATAGATGAAGACAGTCCTTTGTATGACTTGAGCAAACAAGACATGGACAATGCTGACTTTGAAATTGTAGTAATATTAGAGGGCATGGTGGAAGCTACTGCCATGACTACCCAGTGCCGTAGCTCATACCTGGCAAATGAAATCCTTTGGGGCCACCGCTACGAGCCCGTACTCTTTGAAGAGAAAAACTACTACAAAGTGGACTACTCGAGGTTCCACAAAACATACGAAGTGCCCAACACACCCATCTGCAGTGCCAGAGACTTAGCAGAAAAGAAGTACATTCTCTCTAACGCAAACTCCTTTTGCTACGAGAACGAAGTGGCCCTCACCAGCAAAGAGGAGGACGAGATTGACACTGGGGTGCCTGAGAGCATGAGCACAGACACCCACCCAGACATGGACCACCACAACCAAGCAGGGGTGCCTCTAGAGCCACGGCCGCTACGGCGGGAGTCGGAAATATGACTGATGGACTCTTCCTCTCTCTTGTGGTTGAAAGGAAAACCAATACACCTATCGGTCAAAGGCACGTTGACCTGAGAAGTTGGCCCAGAACAGTTTTCAGACAACGGTACTGTTGAAGAGCGGTGTGAAGGCAAGCAGACCTGAGAAACCCGGGCTGGTTTTAGGGCTGTCCTCAGAGGAGGGACGACAGGAAATGAACTCTAAACACAAAGCACTAAACATGTCTAAGTATGAACAGAAGGCACATATGTTGTAGAATAAATTATGTATATATTTTTTTACAAAACTTGAACTTGCAGGCAAGCTTTGGTTGGGTTATTATTATTTTTGTTTTCAACTTTTTCCAGAATGCTTCTCTCTAGGGAACAAGAATGTTTTTAATGGCATAACAAAGGCAAGAATCTGCCTTATTATTATTATTATAATTATTTTTTAACGAGCTGCTGCTAACTACATGAACACAAATGGTTATTTTTGTTGCAGTGTAGTTTTGTATTTTTTTTTTCTCTTGTGTAATTTAAAAACTCAAACCAGAAAAGTCAGTGTTGAACTTTTGGGGTTGAAAAGCTTCAGAGAGGCCTATGTTGCCAGAAAGTCTAAACTCCTTTTGAGGCCAGTAGGTTGAGAGCTCGAATCAATTTCTCTCTTTCCAGTTACATAAGGGGCATTATGTAGTATCAGGCCAATCAGTTGCCTCCAGCAAAATTGTGATTTGGGGGGGTGGGGGGAGGGAATTTAATTCTCTGTCTAAAGGAAATAAAAAATATATATAGACACATAGACAAAGTACTATGTTAAAACTACCTAAATGGATACCAAAGAAAATGCAGAGTTTTGCACAGTGGAGTTTATTTTAAAAAAGAAAAAAGAGGCTGCTTAAAAAAAAAAAAAAAAATCAAACCTCAGTCACTTTTTTTTGGTTTTGTTTTTTTTTTTTTCTCTTTTCTTTTTAAGACCTTTATTTTGCACCTTATTCAAAAAGCTTAAGACTCGGATCTGAAGTGAGCTAGGACTCCTCCTCTTCCCCATCCCTGCTCTTCCATGGGCAAAGAATCCCTGAGGAGTAATGCAGCTGGGGGAAAGCAGGCAAGCACCCAGCTGTCCTCTTGAGCAGAAGGGCAAATGTCTCAAACCAGTGCTGGACCTCAGCCTCCCCAAAACTGAGCCACCCTCTGCAGGCATCTGCCCTGAGCCCCTGCCTCCATTGTGTTACTGCTCAGACCTTGCCAGGACCACGCAAAGCTGAGGTCCAGGCTTGAGGCACAGATGAGCTGTGTAGGGAAATCTCCCCAGGAAGAGGTTTTTAAAGAGGAAAGGAGAGGGTAATGGAGAGGGAAAGAGAAAACAACTTTTCTAACACAGCACTTGGGAATGGTGCAGGGATTGTAGTTGTGTTTTGCAATAAATGCTTCTCTTCAGCAGGGTAGGGGTGTCAGAGAAAGGGTATTTTCCATCTCATTGAGAGAGGAAGGGAGATTTAGGTTGGATATAAGGAAGAAATTCTTTACTGTGAGGGTGGTGAGGCACTGGAACAGGTTGCCCAAGGAAGTTGTGAATGCCCCATCCCTGGCAGTGCTCAAGGCCAGGTTGGACGGGGCTTGGAGCAAGCTGCTCTAGTGGAAGGTGTCCCTGCCCATGGCAGGGGTTGGAACTGGAGGAGCTTTAAGGTCTTTTCCAACCCAAACCATTCTGTGATTTGGAGAGGATGAGAGTACAAAGCAAGGTCCACCTCCTGCCCCTCTCCCCAGTAAACAAGGAGTGGTCGGTGGGCAAGACACATCACCAAGCTCTGAGCAGATGGTGTGACTTTGATTGAAGCTCTGGCTCTAGTGGTATTTTGGCTCCTTCACCCAGAAGGCTTTAAATTCTCTGTGCCTCTAAGATCAAGGAGATGGTGAACCTGTGCTTCCCGCCGGCTCCCCAAGGAGCGGGTGGAGAGGGGTGGTGGTGGTGGGGACAATAATCCTAGTCAACTCTTGCAGTATTGGATCACTGTATGCCATTAAAAAACAGCTTGTTCTAGGTCTAATGTCTTCTGCAAACGGATATCTGTGAAGGCCTCTGGCCCCTTCCAGCCCTGCCTGAAAGAAATGCCTGCAATGAAATGGTTTCTGATAAGATGGTATCTGCAGTTGGGTGGGTTCGAAGCTGTGGAAATGCGACATTGTAAACATGGATTTGGCTACTAGAGAGGGCAGATGATTAAATGCGAGTACTAAGGCTGTTACTGGCGTGGGGGAATGTGAAAGGAGGGAAAAGCTGAATATATAAAGGCGATTGGATTGCAGTTTCTGGGTCAACAGTAGTGAAGACAACTGAGTGCTGCTAGTGCTGCTATTGTGATATTCTTGTAAAACCTAAACCAAAGAGTATTCAGTGACACAGAGAGTGCATGGAAATGCAATGGGGAAGGGATGGAAAAGGGAGGCTGACCAGGAGAAAAGGGTCCTAATCTCCAGATCAGCATCCCTTAGGTGCACAATCCTCCCACTAAATGATACTTGAGATATTTGAGGGGTGGGAAATGCAGGATCCAACTCGTTTCTTTAAAGCAAAAGAAATTCAGAGAAAAAAAGAAGTGAAAATTCCCTCCCCTTACCATTTGTGGTGCAGAGGTCTGGGGCTTGGGGGGGATTTCTTCATTTTGTTTTGTTTTTCAAGTCAGTTTTTCAGAACTATTTTTAAAATGTACATTTTATAAAGTTTATCAAGTATTTTCATATTTAAAGCCAAATGTAAATAGAAGTCTGTAAAGGAGGACAAGGAGAAGAAGAAAAAGAAGAGGCCACACAAAGTATAAATCCTGCTCGGCAGTCTCAGCTAGCTAGTACCTAGATGCTACCGGTTAGCATGAGTTTTAGCAAATACTTGCAAGCCTTATAGGATTCCTAATGCTATGGACTTCTCTTTATTTATTTTTTTAAGCATGGACTTCGTTTGAAAACCTGTTCTAGTTACTGGCATTTTTCAAGAGTTACCAGCTTTCCGAGTGCTCAACTTGTCGAGGGTGTGCATTGAGGTAAATCCACTGCACTCTCTGCCACCTTCTTTTTCTTCTCTTTTCTTTCATCACCCTTTGTCTTTGCCGGTTGAATCTTAACGTTGCAGAATTGCACTCAGCCTCTGGCTCTGGGAAGCTGCTAGAAAGAGACCTGCAATGTACACTCCATGGTACCCTTGCCCCTTTGTCCATCGGTTCTGTATTTCTCAACACCGGTAAGCCTGGTGTAGGACAGACTGTTGTAGCACAGTTCCACAGCAGCAAATTGGGTTAGTCCTTTAAAAAGTACTGTTATCTGTAAGGACTACACAGTGACTGACAGCGTTTCTTCAGTCCCCGGTGAGCCTGGGCCAAGCTGATGCTTCATTAGGGGCCCTTCAAATGGACTGAGCTCTACCCACAGACTCCAACACGCATTGGTTCAGCCTCTTTATCAAGGATAAAGTTGGCTTGCACAGAAGGTTTATGCTGTATTTCGCTTAGGGGCTGGGGGGAATATGTTATTTCTGCCCCTCCCTGAAAATACTTGAATGAGACACATTGTCTAAAACAAAATCCTGCGTGCAGTGCAGTGACAAAAGCATTTCCAAGGCAGGTGGGGATGGATCTCCTCCTTCCTCTGTCCCTTCTGTGCGAGGTGTCCTTGGTTAAGCACCAAGGGTAGAAAGCATCACTTACTCACTGTGTTTAAGGATATTCTCTCCCAGCCATGATAAACTTCTGTGTTGTTAGTTCAGCACTTGCTCTTCTCGGAAAAGACAAAGGGTCCAGATACTTCATTTGTTCTCTTAGGTCTTCTTTTTCAGGATGGATTACAAGGTAAAACTGAGAAGTACTGTAATGTCTTTAAATTATGGCTGCTCATGACCATTGTACAGCAGAAGGGTGCTGCGTAGTTGCCATCCCACAGCCAATGAGAAACTGATTTTGTAAAGACTTTTGGCCTGCAGCTATTGTAAGGTGAACAATCTAGGCATCTGACAGTTGTCCATAACTATTTTCCTGTTTGCAGCCTTTTTGTATCAAAGTCTTCCTAATGTACTGCACAAATTGTGGATTGTACAGATTTTTATATATTATGTCTTATTTTATTATTTCTAAATAAATAAAAAAAAATGAGAATGAATTGATGTGTGCAGTGTGTGTGTAAGTGAGCCAGGAGGAGGGTCTGGAGGTTGTTATACATTCTAAAGCTGTGTTTATGGCTGACTGAGCACAGGCATTGTCCTAAGCACTCTGGGAACAGCCAGGTCATTCTCTCCCTTGACAAAAGGCAGGAGGAAAGGTGATACCACCATTATACCATCATTATTTCCCAGATGGGAACATAAACGCAGTGTAGCATAAGGCAACTTGCACAGAAAGGAGATCTGCCCCAGAGAGGCAGAGGGGCTTTCCCAAGGTCCTACCTGGAGCTGCAGAGCTCCAGATCATGAATTACAAGTTGTATGAACTGGAAAAAAACCCTCCGAGTCTGCATGAACTACAAAGAAGAGGAACAGAGGGGATGAAAGCACAGGGTATAAGCAAGCACATTGAAAGATTTGGAGAGGGATTAAAAAATTAAGCAGAAAACTCATCTCCAAATCCCTGTGTTTTATGTCTGCCTGGAACATCCCCTTATGGAAACGGTGCTCCTCAGCTCAGCTCAATTCCAAACACGCTCGGGGTAATCTTCGTGCATGCCTCATCCGTCTGGAGTCCTGAGCCTGATGTTGCAGGCGTGGAGCTGGGGTTTGTGTGATGTGATGGGGAAGCATAACAGGGCCTGGAGTAACCAAGAAAGGACTCAATGCCCTCATTTGGTGTGTTGGGAGGCTCCTTTCCCATGTGTTTGTGTGTGGCCGTTAGGGCAGATACTGAGGCTGCCCAACCATGACTCAGCTTCAAACTGCTGATCTCACTGGAATGCAGCACCCTGTGGAGGCTGAGGACGGCCAATAGAGCATTTCAGTGCAGTTGTGACCCTCTGATGATTTCCCAAACCTTTAATCAGCCTGCAATACTGTTAAAAGATGCCTCGGATGGAGCCTTGACCCTATCGTGAATGACTCCATTTATAAACCCAAATTTACTTTTCACATCTAATGGTCTCTTGGAAAAGCTTATAATAATGATAATAATTACAGGGCTGGATTTAGAGGTACATATTAACTGTCACAGCCTGGATCTGCTTATTCTCCCTACTGTAAAGAGCTGCTCACTGCTCCGAGCCTGGCTTTTGATGTTTGCTGCCGAGGCAGCAGGTCTCTGCATAGTCTGCCTGGCTCCGGTTGCCTAAATCATTAGCACCCTCTCCTGTCAGTGCCTTTCCCTTCTCTTGCTGGCCACTGGTCCGGTCCAGGTGGAGTCAGCATAAATACAGCAACAAAACACAGGCAGCGTCTTCTGGTAGCCAGCAAGGTAAGAGCTAAGACGTCTTCCTTCCCACACCAGCTGATGCATCTAGCAAGCATCAAGCACGCAAAGCCCCACTCTACCCTCCACCCCACTACAGCTGCAATGGCTTTCCATGGAAATTAGAGGATGAGTAAAACCAGCTGAGTGGTTGTGGAGTCTGAGTTTAAAATGGCAAAGTTTCAGGGGAGGGAACAGGACTCAGTCTTTGTGATTGAGCAGCTATGTGGGAGCAATGCCTGCTGAGAGCAACAGCACTTTGCAGCCGCTCACAGCAATCCTGTATTTCTTCTATAGGAGAAAAATACTGTTTTTCCAGGAGAAGGAATGCTTCCACAGGAGCACATGCTGCTAGGTGAGCACCAGCAACATCACATGGACCATTTATCTCACACCCAGCACAAACATCAGAGGTAGGAACAGTATCACCATCGCACTGGGACCTGCAGCAGGCTGCTCCTTGCTTCTGGCAGTTCTCCAGGTGGCTCTGAAATCTGTAGCTGAATCCTGCCATTCATCTTATGCTTTGGGTAGGCTTTATTTTATAAGGAGTTAACATTATTTCATAACCCTCTCTTTTTAGCTTGATGCATTGCCTTTGCTTTGTCCTCTCCTGCAGGTCGCAGAGATGTTCTTGCTGGTTTGCTGATGTCTGGGGATGGGACAGTGAAGTGAAAACAATGAAAGCTATAGAAAGGTCAAGAATATAAAAATGAAATATGAGTCTTGAGCAGATCATAGTTTTTTTTTTTCCTCCTTCCAAAGTTTTCTCTGAAATACAGCCTTTAATCTGTAACATTTACAGCTTGTTTGAATGTGCAAATCCAGGTGGTTAAAAGTAAAAACAATGCCTTTTATAGGTTTGGGTGGGCAGGACAGAAAGGGGCTACAAACACACCTGCTTCAGCAATATGTGAGTTTTATGTTATTCTTCACAATGCTCCCCAAACTTTTCCTTCCTTACTGCTTGGATTTCAGCCCATAGACACTGGAAACAGATTTTATTTAAAGAATCATCTACACTGAGTCTCATTCAGATGACATGTGTGTTAAAATGTGAAATACCTACAGAACCACCCTTGGAAGCTGTGCAAAAGGGAAGTCATGAGCTGCAGCAGATTTCCTCTCCTTGTTGGATACCTTCCTTTTTCCACCTCCCAGTGGTAGCAGGTTCACTCCCATATGAGCCCTGCTTCCTCCTGATGCAAGAGGCACCCTGGGGAGACCTTCCCTATTGCAGCAGGTAGGAAACCAAAGGTTCTGCTTTCCAGCATCGATATTTTACTAACTCCTTGTCTTCTTTTAAAGGCAAAATATCTGGCTGTGCATAAACTGCTCTTGATATGCAAATTAACTCATTAATTATTTTGCATTACATAGCATGCAGGGTGCCTCATGGCTATGCCTGTATTTCATCCAGGCTTGGAGCAGCAGGGCCATGGGGCTCGCTGTGCTGCCTGAGCCTGCAGGTATTGATACTCAGTTGTCAGTGCAGAACAAACCAGAGCACTCAGGTCACTACCTATGAAATTTCTTCATTACTGGGCTTTGAGAGCAATCTGGTTGCTGGTGCTGCTCGAGACTAATGAACTCTAAGATGCTGCTTCCACTGAAATCATTACTGGAGTTCCATTTAATTGATGTATAATAGGCTGTTGAGAGGAAAGGATAGATTTCTACAGTTTAATAGCACAGAACAGGGATGAATCTCACCCTGGGGCAAAGAGATTACCCAGAGAAATCACACTGCTTTAGCTTGATTTTTGAAGTCTTTCAGTATTCTCAAGCGGTGCAGTGGCTGTTAGGTCCCAGAAAGGATGGAAATGGTCATTTCCATCTTCACCCCTTTATTTCTGTGTGAGTCCTTTGCATGCACACAGAGAATACAAGGCAGACCAAGCAAACACTTTTTTCTCTTTCCCATGTTGATACTTGCACTGGCTTCACTTATGCTGGAAAGGCAGAAGCAGATCAAAAGTTGGTATTTTCTCTGTTTACACCTTAGGCAAGAGAGCTTTGGCTGTCTGCAGTTGACTCGGGATGTGTCTGTGATCTACAGATGGAAACAGGGAATTCCATTCTTTCTCCTGCAAGAGTCTGGCAGGAGATGTCTGCCCTCTAATAAGAAGCCCAGGAGCTAATTGAAGATGAGGGGAAAAAAAAAGCTTTAAAGGAAGAATAAAGTTAATAAAGGTATGGAGCTGCTTAAATGCTCACTTTGTGTTTCAAAGCAAATGGAGCGTAAACATGCTCCATCTGCTCTTTGTAGCACACTGGTCTCCTTCAGGTGGAGCTACTCAACCTGCAGGGTTTGGGGTAGTTGTGACAGCAGTATCTGGAAAAGGAAAGCAATGAATTCACTGGAGGAAGGCATAATGTCACCTGCAGTGTCACCTCCATCCTGCTTTGCAAAGGCTGCGCTGGTGGTGATGGTGCACTTGGAGATCCTGGTGTCCTCAGCCTCCCTTTTCCCCTCGTTACCTGGCCACCCTGCTAACCTGATTCCATACGGGAAATTGCTCTGGGAGTACCGGTGGGAAGGGAGGCTGCAGGGCTGGTGCATGGCCATTCTTGTATGCAAAGCCAAAGGGATTAAAAGCAATTAGGGAAGCCCTGATTTATCCTAATTACAGCCAGGGCTGGAGCTGTGTTAGAGGCATTAGCTCAGGTTTGCCAGTCTATCTCCCAGTGGGCTCAGGAGTTTATTTCTGCTCTTCTCGCTCTGTCCCCCCTCTTTGCTCTCTCATCCCAGTGACACCCATCATCAGCTTTGACCCTGAGGACCCCTGTGGGTTTGGTATTTACCTTCATAGCTGCCACGGTTCCATGCAGTTGCAGTGTCTTGGTGTTTTCAATATTTATAGCTCATTAACTCCCATGATGAGATCCTTGTGCAGTTCTTTAGGCTCGGGGTTTAATGAGGAGGGGTTGCCAGAATGGCTGCGCCTGGCCCTTGGCGTGTTATCTGTCAGCTTTGCTATTGAATTAACTCGAGGTATGCATTGACTAAACATCTTTATGAATCTTGCAGAGTCTGTTTGTCCAATGGTTCTAAATTAATGCAAATCGGCTTCAAATGTGTCAGACCAGCTCCCCCAGGAATCCCTGGACCCCAGCGTGTTGTGACAGCTCTTGTTTAAGCAAATCTGGATCTTTCACTGCGAATAATGAGAGCGCTTTCATCCTGAGCGGTATTACCAGTGAGACTAATGTGCCATTCTCCTTCTTAAAACCGTGGTCTCATCAGATATAAATTAAACCACTGGGAGAGCAGGGAAAGAAAATGTGAGTAGCATTTGCATGTATTGTCCCTCCTTTTCATCTGCTGCAGGAATGGCATCGCAGCGCCTTTTTAATGCCGATACTGCTGTTACAGTAAATGATTCAACAGGCACAGCCTTTCATATTCTGGGGTTTCAGACTTGGAGGTTTTGTGACACATGTAAATTATGTGCATGTATTTGAGCTATAATTCATGATGTATTGTTTGGAAACCTCATTCACACACTTCAACTCCTGCAGGTTTCCTTCCACAGGTGTTTCCATGTCCCTGGAAAGATTGCTTCAGATGATGGTCATTGCTGGTGGCTGTTCAGGAGGAAGCTTCCCAACACGCTTACAGGTAACTTTATCTACTCTAAAGGCTCATGGAGTTTTGCTGGCACCCAGCTCATTATCCACAGGAGCACATAAACCCTGGGAGCTTCTGTAACCATGGCTGAGGTCTGCCTTTCGCTGCTGACATCCTACTCTTTTGGGCACGCATCTTCTGCTGCCAGGCTACAGATGTACCAGTTATTATTTCCACTGGTGCTGTAAGAGTCCATCGTGCGACTGTTGCTCACAGCACTACACCGTATTACTTGCACTGACGCATGCAAGCATGACCACTCAAATATATTACTGCCCCAGCACATCCTCCTAACTAAACACGTTCAGCCCGTTCCAACGTGGTAGATTTTGCTTCAGATAGGAGATGACCGCATTCCTTCCTTGAAGTCTCTCTCCTCCACGTATCAAAAAATGTTAACAAATAGGCATAATATATGCCCTGGGGAGCAGAGAAAGCTGCTTTTCTTTTTCTTGGCTGGCTTAATTCATGCTGGAATTGTGTGACTTTTCATCTCTGCAGCCGGAGGAAAAGGCTAACTCCCAGTGTAAAAGTAGCATGATAAATGGTGGAAAAATAACTTGTTGGCTTTCCTAAGAAACTCTCCTCCCCAGCTCCTCCTCTCACTGTACTCCTTCCAGCGCCCCAGAATTCACTGCATCAGTGCATGTTATGGCACCTTTGGGATGTGTTAGTCATAAGAATGAAGCTACTGGTGCTTTGCAGGCATATTTTAACTTTGGCTCTCGCATGAGCGCTCTGACACATCTGTGCTGTCTGCACGTCTGGGTAGCGTTCGCTTGCGGGTGCCTCCTGAGATTCCAGACAGCTCACAAAAAGGAAACATCTAATTTATATTGGTGAAGGTATGCGTGAGGTCCTTTTGCTGCTCTTTGGTGGTGGTGAGGGCTTTGGGGTACAGGGTTAATGTGGAATGAAGGCAGGAGGGATGCCTCGAATGGGAACTGTAATGCCCAGCTCCTGTTCTGTCCTTTCTCTTCTGAATACAGCAGGGTGGACAGGAAGAGGGGAGACTGTGCTTGCTCAGCCAATCTTGCTCTTGTGCCCCTATGTGTTATCTTCTGCACTGGGAATATTGAACTAGGGGCCAGCTGCATTGCCCTGGCCCCGTGGCATGGTGCTCGCTGTGTGCAGCTCCTTCTGATGCTCTGTCCCCTGTGACCAAAATGCATCAGGGACTGAGAAAATACAGCCTCTGGGCATTTGCACTGGCATCAGGAGGAGCCATGCTTGCTGCCTCTGCCAAGCTGCTGCCACTGTGTACCAAATTGCCCGTGTAATTCTGCCCCTTGTGCAGCAGACGAGAAATGGGCTTGATCTGAGCCTGTTCTTCTCATCTGAATTCATTCAGATAGCAGAATTAATCTGCAATTGTGTATAATTAACTTCTCCCAGGGTGCTTTTGAGATGAGACCTGATAAGTCAGTGTTGCGCATTGTATTATGGACATTTCCATCTGGATATGCCCTGTTGTGTCCTCCTGCTCTCAAATGTTGTAGTCTGGACTCAGTTCTGTAATCTCGGTTCATATGCAAAAAGGTGAGTTCACACCTGACTCTCTGGCTCTCTACTTTTGTGTACAAGTGTAGCGTTCCCAGTTTACTCCTGCAGGTTTAATACCAGCCCTGGTTTGGGAAACTTCTCTTATACTTTTTAGGCCCAATCTAATGTATCCAGCAAGGACTGAGCAAATACCAGGGCAGCCCATCAAGCAGCGTTATCCACCAGCAAATGTACCAAGGTCAGTCAGACTTAGAATACCGAAGTGTCTTAAATCAAAATCCTCAGGGATTGCACGTGTATTCAGTCTATTACATGTATATTTGGTCCTTGTGTGCTCCGAGTCGTTTGCTCGTGTTTTGCACATAACCACAGTCATTTTATGGGAAAGAAGAACCAGGCTTGGTCTAAAGGAAAACTGTGCTGGCCTGTCCACTTTAAATGGTCTTGTATTTAAGAGGCTGTAGCACAGACAGCAACCTTTTTCTCCCTCAAAATGAATGACCAGATAAAGATCTTGTGCACAAGCAGGGGAACAAAAATACAGTGAAACAGCAGAGTAGTGTGGTCAGCAAAGGTTTTGTGAAATGAGATGCTGGTTTTGTTCTTCCCCTTAGGGAACAAGAAGAAAACTTCTCTTTGTCTGTATCTCTTTCTCAAACAAGCTCTGTGACTGGTTGCAACCTGTAATAAAAATGCCATATGCAAGGGAATATATTTAATATTGGGAAAGCAGAAAGGAACGATAGGATCTGTTTGGGCTTTGAAGGTAAATGTTTAGACAATTTTTTCCCTTTAAAATCAGCTGTGATAGATGCTGGTTAGCTGACTGGGAAATGAAATCACAGAGGATTTATGCTGTTAATGACAGGCTATGATGTCAAAGACATTTGGCCTGTAGCCATAACCTTTTGTGTGGCTCTGGTTCATTCTTATAAATAAACAGGACTGCTGCCTGGATTAGAGTCCCCATCACTTGGGAACAGTGAGAACTGAGCTAAGGAGAACACTTAGAAATATGGAGCGAAAAACAATAAGAGTTTTTTCCCTTTTAGTTTTATGCAGCAGGGCTGCATCGATGTTGAAAGAAGCACCAGATTACTGAAATAACACCAAAACCAATCTCGCTTTCTGAAGCTCCACTGTGTCGCAGTGATTTACAGCTAGTCAAAAGCCCAGACACATCGTCAGCAGCGTACATCGCCGTGATCTGTGTTCCTCTTGTCCAATTTGTGGTACAAATCAGCAGGCTGGGCTGGCTTTTATAGTTGTGCTTGTGTGACACCCAAGGTTTGCATCAGGTGGAAGTGGTGGGAGCATTCACCCTGCCCAAGGAGGGTGCAGTGGCAGGTCCAAGGCACCCAGACAGGAGAGGAGCAAACCCCAGGACACCCGTTGCAGTAATCTCTGAAAGCAAGCTGCAAATCTGACTGCAGAGAGACAGGGAGGCCCTGAAGTATATAAAACTTTCATATGTACCCTATCTGTCCCCTTGAGGAATTTACAGGCGTAATTTTAATCCTGTTTTGCCAGGTAATGGACAGGATTTGCTTGCAGCTGTATAATGTTTGATACATGGGAGGGCTTCATTCTGCTGTTATTGGTGTCATTTTTCACCTAGACTGATCTTCCTTTTGTACTGTGTCCTCTGGAGCTGTGTTGCTGATGGGTCACAGGTACCAGATCTGTGGCAAAGTGAAGCTGTGTGTCTGCATTGATCGAATGGTACCCACTTAAACCCTGTAAGGATCCAGGTCCTCTCACTAACATAGCTACCAGCACCATATGGGTAAGTGTTACAGAGGAGCTTTCAAAGTGACCTGTGTCCTGCAGGTCTCCGGTTCCCAAACTTCCAGTGACTTCAGCAGACCCGGTCTGTGCCAAGTGATGCAGCATCAATCCAGCCCTGAAATCTGGATAATAGTATTTTGTATTAAAGAAAGGCAGAGGTTAATTAAATATTAATTTATGGTTTACAGCATGGGTTAAAGTTCCTCTCTTAACATGTATTATAACTTTGCCCAGGAGACTTAATTCCTGAGGGAGGGAATGTTTCTGCTTATGGGCTTTGAAAGTAAAGAGAAAAGTGTATTCACAGGGTATAAATATGCCATTATATGGGATGCTTTGTTCAGAACTCTGCTACATTTTGAACACTGGTGATAATTAATGGCATGAGGTAGTTAATGACAGCGCTTTGCTGAGCACAGGTACTGCGCTGATGTCCAGGGCAAAAGGACCTGAGTCATTTCTGTTGCAGGCTCTTGCTTTTAAACCCCTGAGACTGAGGCAGACACAGTTGTGCCAAGGTCAGACCATGACATTACAGACTGAAACTCCAACTATCTGCAGTCAGAGAGAGGAAAGAGATGGAAAATGCCAACGGGGAGGTACTGGGAGAGAAAGATTTAGTGGAAAGGGAAAAGGCAGCTCCTCAGTCAGGGTAGGGGATGTGCAAAGAGAAGTATGGAAGAAAGGTGAGTGGGAATTGTATCTTCCAATAAATAATGAAAATGCAATGGGATGTCAGCTTGTAAATCATGCAGGGACTTCTGGTGACTGTAACAGAAACGCCTTTGAATGCGCAGAGATAAGGGAAAGGCTTTGGGAGGAGTGGTTTTTCCAAAGACTCGACAGGGAGGCTGGTGTTTATTGAATATTTATGAAGATTTCTGTAGCATGAAGACAGCTCCCACACTGGTTCAGTGGCCATCAGACACCTCTGGGCACTGGGCGTTGTGGATAGCTGCGGTCCCCGGGCTTGGCTACACTCGATTTGGGCTGTGACGACCATGAGCATCTTTCTCTGACAGCAGTGAGAGGAAATCCCATGGGCTGCAGCACTGAGGAAGCATCAAAGAGGAGCCAAGGCTGTTTGCTGCACGTTTGGATGCAGTGTAGCATTGCTCCAGAAGACGATAAGATGGAATAGTTGGATTTTTCATTTTCATTGATTTGGGGAGATGTCTTGAACCTTATCTAGTTAAAGGCTGGATTTAAAGTTCTGAGACAGAATAGTCACTTGTGAATGCTAGGCACCATTGTATTATTTCCATTGCTTTATCCCTTAGATTTGAAGGAGGATGGGGGGATCCCCTTGGAGATGGGACAGTCCTGGTGGAGCAATCCTGTAGCATCAGCTGAAAACTGTGCACAAGACTGAATTGTGAACTTCCCAAATGCGAACATTCCCAATGTGTGCAGTGTGTTGCCTCTAATTTAAATTCCCCTAATTTTATCCTTAATGTTTTTAGTCCTTTAGACTTAAAAAGCAGAACTGCTGCTTCTTTGTGCTTGGGAAATGATACAAGACCTTTACAGTCTCCAAATTGGCTTTTTTTTTTTCCTGAAGAAACAGTGTAATTGCATACAAACACTTCTCATCAGTTGTCTGTAGAGTCCCTTTGGCTGAATTGTAAATCACTATAAAGTGCACGAAAAGAAAGATTGGGACATAAATGACTTTTGGAGCTGTCTAGTCTGAGGTTCTGTAAGGTAATTAAATCAAGGAGACTTTCTGATCTATAGAAGGGTCAATGGAACAGGGCAGTGCTTTGAACCATGGTCTCATTAAGATACAATTGCCTCCATCGCTTCCCGGGTTGTTTATAAGAGAGAGCTTATTCCTAAGCAGTCAATAAGAGGAGCACATAAATCACAGCACAGAAAGAGTTACTCCCAACTTTATGGACCAGCTCCTCAGCTGCTATAAATCACTGTTGCCCCAGTGATGTCACCTCAGCCATGCTTTATTTAGACAACCCAGAGATCTGTCTCATACTGTTCTCATTTTATTGGCTTTTATTGCATCACCAATTTCAAAGACCCCCCCTACCCAACCACTGAGGCAGCCCAGCTTTGCTCCCCTTGATCTCACCTCAGCATCGTGCCTGAACAGCGTAGCATAGACAGCTGGGTAGCAAGCAAGTAATACTCCTCCAGCCTAGAGCTCCTCTAATAAAACATTATCCCTAATAACTAATTAAACTTACAAAAGATCCTTTCTGGTTTTGTGGCAGCGGTTACTGTGAGCAAATCTGCCAGTATGAGGTCATTTTTATATGTCCTGGTTGTATTTCATCAGGCTGATGTCAGGATGGACGTCACCATTGTCAATACGGTATTTGTGAAGCTGGAGATCAATATTAAATACTGGATTTAGGATCCATTCACAGAGTTGTAGCTCTGACTGTGTTCGACCTTCTTTGGCTGACAGGAAGCCAGAGGGGTTTTTCCATGTCATTCACTTAAAGGAGTTTCCACTGCCTGGCTTTCTCCCCTTGCTACACCATTGCGCAGCGACAACCTTCATTTGGAATTAGGAAGAGAAAGGGTCCTTCTGAGGAAAGAGTAAAAATTCATGAGAAATCTCCAGAGAACAAAACATCAAACCCAAAAGGGCCCAAATGTGAGGAAACAGCCAAGGAATAACATGAAAAATTGATGAGCAGAGCTGCAGATACTCAAATGATCAGAATCCACTTAATTAGGGATGATTGTAACATTAATTCTCTAGTTTAAAAACACTGATGCTATGCGTGGCTGGGATTTTGGCACTCAGGTAACGGCATGTCAGTTCTCTGCTGTCCTCCTTGCGACACCCAGAAATTATGTATGTCCACCAATTTTATCATGAGAAATTACCAGCAATTTACTCCAAGCTGTTTCACAAATCAAAGCTGTCGCTACAGTGAGGATGAAATATTCATCGGATATCCACACTGTCCTCCTATTGCTTTCAGAGAGGGGATAAACATATGTGTTTAAGAACAAATACTCATATATGGGATTTAAGTACCTTTATGTGGCAGAACAGGCATAAACCCATGAAGAAAACATCAAAGGAGATATGATCTGCCTGAGCTGGGTACCATGTAACAAGGCAAACATTTGCATCCCAGCTCCAGTGGGCAGCCCTACAACCATTGCCTCCTTTCCCTCTGCCTGACTTCTCCTCCAGACCTCTGTCCCTCTTCCTCACTTTTGCTGCTGTGTAATAAACCCTCTGGAACCATGACCACTGATTTGTTTCTCTAAACAGACTGAAGCCTATAGATTTTCCTGCTGACCATTTTGACCGTATATATATGATCATATTACATATATATGCATACACATATTGTCTGTCTTCAT